TAACTGTGATTTGGGGCCAAATTCAATGAGATGTGAGCCCGGTTGGTAAGCTTCTGTCATTCAAAGCAACTTCTGACAAAACAATTTCTAACAAAATCTGTTGTCATGTTTCAAGGTTATTTTAATACATCAACATTATGAAGTGTTATTTAAAGAGTTTGTCCCTAGTGATCTCTTCTCTGGAAAATAACCACAGATAAAAATCTTTAAGGTGTAAACAAAGAGCTTTCCATGACATAAGACTGATGATGTGATTTTCTTTGTTTTTTTACATTTGTTTTCAACCTAACAGCAGATAAACCCAGAGCCACACTGACAGCAGATGAAACAATCATACCACCAGGGGGCAGTGTTAGACTGAACTGTTCTGTGGATGGATCTGCTGACTGGAAGTTTGACTGGTTCAGAAATGGGCAACAATATTCTGTAGTCCAGACCAGAGGAAAGATTGATCCATACGGAGTCATCAGCATCTCAGAGGGAGGTCTATACAGCTGCAGAGGAGGAAGAGGAGATCCAGTTTTTACAACAGAAACAAGCAATGAAATCTCTATTAGCAGCAGAACTGGTGAGTTTAGCTCTACATTTTAGAAAAATGCTTTCTTCAACACTCATCTATCTATCAGGGATGTTAAAGTATCCATTTTTTTTTTATATTAATGAGAGCTTTAATTAAAATGAAAGCAATAATTATATGATGGTAGCTCCATTAGCTGATTGCTTGAATTTGAAGTATTTTACTTGCATTTCAATGGTAGCAATGAAGATAATTCAGGAAATACATTTTTATGTAACACTCTAAAAAACAAATAACTATTGTGAACAGTCTCTAAGCCAACAGTGATCCAACAACCCAGTGGGTCTGATGTATACATTGGAGAGAAAGTCACTCTGAGATGTAAGGTCTCTGGAGGCGGAGGAGCTCAGTGGACGTATGAATGGAGACCAACCAGCAGAAACTCTCCAACATCCAGTGAATACAGGATCAACAGAGTCTCTACGTCTGACAGTGGAGAATACAGCTGTAGGGCTAAAGGAGATCATCTGATAACAGAATGGAGTGATGCTTTAACACTGACAGTTAGAGGTGAGTCAGACTGAAAATGTTTAGTTTGTCTTCTTTTCATACACATTAACCTAAATAAAATAGTAGGTAACTTGGTTTGATGAGTGAATGACCCCAAATGTGAAAATACCAAACAGTAGTGTAAATATGCAGTTAGAGGCTAAAAGACATAAAATAAAGGAAGTTTTTTCCTCCATACGCTTGTCCCGTTTATAAATCTTAAAGCAGATAAAATCTATATTTCCTGTATCTCCATGCTTTAACAATATTTCTAAGCTTTGTAACAGAAGATAAATGACTCATTCAGAGGTTAAAGTCGGATTTATTTCAGTGAAGATTTTTCTAAAACAAAACTCATTCTAATGATGGTCTGTTTTCTGTTTGTTTCCACCAGCAGATAAACCCACAGCCTCACTGACAGCAAATCAGAGAATAATACCACTAGGGGGCAGAGTAACACTGACCTGCTCTGTGTTCAGCTCTACTGACTGGAAGTTTGACTGGTTCAGAAATGGGCAACAATATTCTGTAGACCAGACCAGAGGAAACATTGAGCGATTCAGAGTCATCAGCATCTCAGAGGGAGGTCTATACAGCTGCAGAGGAGGAAGAGGAGATCCAGTTTTTACAACAGGAACAAGCAATGAAATCTATATTTGGAAAACTGGTGAGTTTGTTGCCTTTTTACATTTTGAAACTGTTTAACCAGGAAACTTTATTTCTGTTCTCCATCTGTTGATATTTCGTGCATGAAGAGTTTTTTTATTTATTTATTATTATTTATTATCATATTTTGAAATAAACAACCGAGAATTACAGAATTCTCGGGGAAGAGCTCAATAATTTTAAAAACAAAAAGTAAATTCCTCTTTGAATCTTTATCACAGTGGAATAGATTTTTTTCTGACAACTAGAAGCATTTTAGATACAGTTTGTCTGTTTGATGAGAATATTATTTTTTTGTTAAATGTTTATTGTAGTCTGCCCTCTTTTGAAGTCTCTCTCTACTAGTCTTTTTGTACAGATTTCCAGCAAAACCTTAAAAAAACGTTGTTTACACTCAAACAAATTCAAACCAAATTCAGACAGCTTTAGTAAAAACAGATATTTCCGGGTCTGAAGGTAGAGAAAAGTTCTAACCTCACAGACATAATAACTGGTCCAAGTAATCTGTAACACAGGATGCTAGAAAACTTCCTACAATTTATGGGGTCAGATATTAAAGTGATTTAAGTTTATATGTTGACAGGCTGGTAGAAATGGTTATCTCTGTATTCAATGTGATTTCTTGCTGCTTTATATCTGTCTCTCTAATTCCTAGCTATGAAACATCTTCTGGCTTCTGGGATTTGGATAAATGTTCTAGTTTTATTAGAAAGAAAAATGAAATACCGTATTTTCACGACTATAAGGCGCACTTAAACGTCTTTTTTTTCCCTCAA